TTTTCCATTTGCCCCCGTATTCAATGGACGCCCAGGTAGTGCCCGGCCAGATGTCATTCAACTGCCAATACAGGGCACCCATTGTGTTCCCGTTACCCGTCTTCGGGTCTATCGCTCGGTTGCGGCGGTAAAACTCTGTCTCCACTTTCATAGCCATCGCTTGTATTACTTGTGATAAGTACACCAAATCGGCGAACCGATCGACACCACCCTTCGAGGGCAGTTTGAAATAAGTGGCTGGGTGGAATAAAAGTACATAAGAACTAGAGTAAAACGTATTCCAACATAGACCATGTTTTAAACTCTCAACGATAATGCTTTACAATAATTTAAAACAAACACACATGTTACACAAACTAGATAATAACTTTAAAAAGTATCTAAAAACTTACCAATTGCCTTCTCGATTGATTTGGTACCTCCGGGGTGGTGCTGCCTGTGCTCCAGCGCCGCACTGATCGGGAACGTCAGGTCAGTCTCGTTCAATACAGTCAACAGTGTCTCGACGGACGGGTAGGATATGTAGCCGTATTCGGAGGCAAACTTACCGCTGGGGTATTGACGCCAATTCCATAGGGGTTTGTCATACGTATAGTAGTGGACATCGCCGTAACGGGTGTCTGACGCGTGTTCTGCTACCCAATCCTCCTGTTCCTCTTCGGCCCCATTCGATGGACTCGAGCCCACAAACGTACGGCTGAGGTCTTCAGCGAGTATACGGCGCCGGATGTGATTAATGTAGAGCTCGATGTAATCTGATTTATGCTGTGCGGTGTCATTCTTGTTGCCCAATCGCACCCAACTCTCGTTCTCGTTGTTACCTATTATGTGGTCAAACATAACGGTGCTATAAATATTGGTATCTACAACATGACCAATTTAGTGATGTCACTGACCGGCCCACAAAGCGATAGACGGATGGTGTTGTAGTCGACGGACCTGTTGTGTCACCTCCTGGTCAACGGTGGCCAAGAAGTCCGGATCGGATGGGTATAGACTGCAGGCGAACATCATGTCCTGCCAAATCATAATACCAAACTCGTCGGCCAACTCGTACAGGTAGTCCGACTCGTAGACACCGCCGCCCCAGACGCGCATCATATTCATGTTGGCATCTCTGGCCGACTGCATCAGCCCACGCAAGTAGTCACGTGTGATGCGCTCCTGGAGGTTGTCGGCGGGTATCCAATTGGACCCTTTGGCATAAAATGGCTGTCCGTTCACCTGGAAGTAAAATGTCAGTCCCTTCGGCTGCACCGGTGTTTGAATCACTTCGATCGACCGAAACCCAAAACGCCGGGTCAGTTCAGACACGCTGCGGGACTTCTCAAATTTGGCGACCACTTTTAGCTCGTACAACTGCTGAGTGTTGTTGCCCACGCCGTTTGGCCACCACGGCTCGGCACCATCCACACCAGTTATAAGTTTCACTTTACTGGTGCCGTCCGGCCCGGGTGTCAGTGTATACTCCCGGCCCGATAGCAGTTCGTATTCATTCAGTTGTAGTGATAGTTCAGCGGTATAGGCGGCGCCCGCGCCGAGACCCGACTCAATGACAACGTCGGCGTTGATCTCAAACTTATAGGGCCAACTCTTGTCTGGTATGGTCTCGATAACTATGTCCCGCACAACGGCCTCGCTATACGCCTCCAGACCGATGGGTTTCCATATGCCTTGTGTGGGAAATGCCGGTCCCTTTGGGGGAGAGATTAAAATACATATAAAATTATTAGTTTAGTTTATTTGGGAACATGTATGTGATAGACATGTTAGCGCGTACCCAATCCCAGCTGTACGACGAGGCCATTTTGCGAATCATATTGTTGTGACACTCGCCGTGGTATTCCTTAGCCATACATCCTATGAACAATAGTTTATTTATAGTTGTAGTAAAAACATTAAGCTCATCAAGTTTCACACCACCATCACCTGGCAAGTGTGAGTGTTTGTGTATAGCATACCAGGTATGATATCGTAGTGGTATTTGTCGTGATACCATTGCGACTGCCGGCGCGAGTAGGTTAGCGCCGACTCGAACGCCACGCGTATAGTGTTCTGACCGTATTTAACAACTTTCTTCACGTCAAACCTGTACCGCACGTATTGGTTGACAGTCTCGCCGACCAACTGGTCGTTCACGTATATCTTGGACACTGTGTCCACCCCTTCGGCCACCAAGAAGAGCCTTTCTGGACCAAGAATGAACCAAGATGCTACAATTTGATATCCATATACAATTATTATAACATTTATAATATCAATTCAGTATATAATCAATATAAACCGTCAAACGTGCGCTCATATGTCCAGTTGTCCCACGAGACCCACCGGTAATTGACATCGTTATAACCGCTGAGCAACTCCTCTGGCAAGTGACCACTGGCCCGCAGGTCTGTGTATATACTGCCCGGCACTGTAGCTCCAGTTTTGATGGCTAAACATGATGGTAATTATGTGGTTATATACGCGGTTTGCAATACGTACACTTGTTTTGGCAATAAGTTGTCCATTGATTGCCATTTAGTGACAAATGTATTGTGGCAAAAGTGCTGTTAATTAGACACCAAATAAACAATAATCGATATATTTGAATAAACATAGTTTACGAAATACGCCAAGATTATTTATTAAAAATGAATTCTAGATGGATGGATTTAATAATCAATTAGCTAAAATCAATAGTAAAATAATTACTTTGGGTGAAAAGTGTTATATACGTGTTATTATCACTTTAATGTGTGAATTAAGACATTTGTTCACTGATTCCCAACTTTGCCACTTATTTCCCTTTTTGTTACGGAATTAGAATTATAAAATAGTAATCTTAAAATAATAATCACTAGTTTAACTAGTTTAATTAATACCTAAATACTTATGACAACATGATTATGTGTGAATGTAAAAATATGCTGTAAATGTATTGTTGTTTTACATGTAAATTACGGATCTTGGATAAGGTTATCATGTTTTATTTTATTAAAAATAAATTAATATTCAATCAACTTTACATTAATACTTAAAGTAATGTAAATAACTCATAATAATTAAACACATGGTGAGAAAACGAATGATCTAGCTCAGATCACATCGGTCACAGTTTTAATAATTAAATTATCTGCAATATCCTGTTCATCTACGGCCTCATTTCCGGTGTACACAAACTGCACTGTCTTTGTCTCGTCAAACATGAAGAACCCGTTGTCCACAAAATGACCGCTAATTCCCGATCCGGGCTTCAGGTCGAGCGCCACGAATGGGGCCACGGCTTCGGTGTATAGTTTAATACTAAACAAATGTTTGTCATCTCTTAGCACCGACACGAGTCTTAGGTTGGGTTTCACGAGTTTGGCGTTCTTGGGCTCCGTTAGCAGTAGAAAACTAGACGCCTAGTAATGTGTATAATGTAATTACAAATCGGTTTATAAAACGTTTACCCAAAACCAACTCCCTATTAATACTCCCCCTCAAAAATTTAATGGTAATTTACGTTGAAGTTCGGCGCCTCCACTCGTATCACGCATTGGCTCCGGTCGTCACACTTGGCTCTGGAGAGCAGGTCTGGGATGTGTTGCGTCCAAACAGTGGCCACAGAAAAGCCTTTCTCTGATTTGCATTTGGCGTACATTTCGGACACGG